AATAATTAAACTCGGATCAAAATCCAGTTCATATCAAAGTCTATCTACAGGTCAAGCTAAATTCACGGCCCGACCGCCTACTGAATCCACAGTTCCCTCTCCTTTTTGGAATATATGGGGTTGAGTAGCAGCTCACTCAACAAGCAAGCGCTCGAAGCTAAATCTGAAACTTCCAACTAATCGACGATGCGTGCCAAACTCCATGTTCGTGGCGTGTTCGAAGTGGTTCGAACGTTCACGTTCTAATGGAGTAAGAAGCGATGTCAAGAGTACTTTGAAGGTCTAACGGGATCAGTTCCTGGTCCATGGTGATGTCAAGTTAAGATCTCTATGCAATCTTCAAACACTGCAATTTTACTATTTCGGAACTTATTCCTTTGGGAATTTCCTGGTTAAAAATCTCAGGCAGCAACCAAGTCATTTTGACTGCCCTGCAAACCATCCGAATTCGACCGAAGACAGTCCCCAATTCATACAAACTCACACTCCATTAGCTTATCTGTGGCAACAGACCCTACAGAAATCAACCGGTATCTCTACGTCCCCGGGACATGTCCTCAGACAATCACAAACATCGCCTAACAAGAGATTTTCCCAGATAAGATTCTACTGCAAATCGCTACTTCACACTTTCTGAGAGGGCGCAAATCACCATTGGGCCCACTACTGTGTTCCATTAGTGACCCGAAACGTTATCTAATAACAATTAGTGCATTCGTGTAGCATGTGTATGAGTGCTGGGCTCGGACATCCATGACTATCTGTGTATATGAGGTCACCGATGAGAAGATATCCTACCCTAATCGCATTTAGGCCATGTCAGATCTTCACTTCACGATCATTATCAAAATCCTTATAGGAAGTGACATATTTGAAGGAGTCAGGGTACCTCCACAACAATCCGAAACAGTGCCGTCCAAATCTAAAAATATATTTTACGCCGTCTCACCCTTCTTGCCCTCCCATCCTTCGTTTCCATCTCGTCAGCAAAACTTCAACGGGTAATCAGAACGTTGGTTATAATTGCAGGCGGGCTACCCGAGACATGAACGCCATGAAAAACTCGAATTCAATTCGTTCAGACTCGTTTCAGTTCCCTCTAGTCGAATGCGTTGGTTCTTTCTTGAAAATGGCATCATTACGAGTTTGGTAGTCACTAATAGTTAGATTCTGCCGGAATGATTGCTCAATCCCAGAGAAACAAGCTTCAAATCCTTCTTCGGGCTCATTTAGTCAAAGCCAGATTAAGCTAGGATATTGAAGTTTGATGTCTGGATGCCTAACATGTCTGAGAATCTACTCACAAGCCGTAAGCGGTCATATAAAACACAACGACATCTGAAAAACTGATACTGAGATAGAGTTGGACTGGATTTGGTTAGATGTGGTTTAGCCACAGGGCCACATTTCGGACGATATCAAACTCAATTCAGAACTGTCAACGGATTGGATCCGCAAACTAGAAGTCCGACATCTAGCCAAGCATGCCAGACTAAGGTATGGAAGATTAGTGTCCGCCGGCAGGGCAAGCCTCAAAAGCTCGAAGCTGCGCCCAACTCTTACGGAACGTCAATACGACTGATTTGTCATAGCAAAAGAAAAACTCCACGAAAAGGTGACGAAATTCCAAGCCACGTGACCGAAATGGCCAGCTCTGATCTATTGACATAATCTTATTCCATAAA